AAGGGAGTGAAAGACAACAATAAAAACAATAAAATATTGGGGACCTCCCTCATCGCGCAGGAGTTAAAGTCTTGGCACTATCAGGCCACTGCAACATGAGTTAGGTCCCCAGCCAGGAAGCTGACCCACATGGCGCAACAGACTTCTCCTCTCATCTACTGCTCCCCTCAACAGTGTCCTGCTCCCCACTGTTTCTGGTGAATTCTCTTACCCCTCACATCTCTAGCCTGAACCCCAGTTCTGTAAGCATAAATAAATAAATCTTTTTTAAAAATGTAAGAACAAAGATTAGAGGAATAGCTTCATGTCCACAAAGAATTTTTTTTTAGGATTTATTTATTTATGCATACAGAACTGTGGTAGGCCAGAGGTGCAGGAGTCGTGAGAGGATTCACTAGAGGTAAAGCTGGGAGCAGAATAGGCAGATCGATGAAATATACTGCTGAGGAGGGCAGCGAGTGGGTCAGGAGAGGTCTGCTGCACCATGTGGGTCACGTCCCTGGAAGGGGATCGAACTGTAGGTGAAGCAACTGCAGCAAACTTCATGGTGCTGAGCTTTAACCTGTTGCGTCATCAGGGAGGGCCCACAAAGAATTTTTTAAAGGAGTCCGGTTTTATGTGGAAAAGTTTATCATTTCTCCTTAAGATAGAAAAGGAGATGAACAGAAATTTTAAAAAGAATAGTAAACAGAAAATATAAAAAGAGATAGCAGGGGAAAAGTCCAAATAAAGAATTCACACCAGAGCATCATAATTCATAGTTAAGAGATGTTCATTTCTCTTCTAGCCGAGTCATGCTTCTCCTGTGGTTATTCTGTTATTTAATTACTGACAAATAATGTTAAAAAATTTAGACAGTAGAGGAATGGTGGTGTGTGGAAATTTTAGTTTAAACACAAAAAATATTTTTATTGAAGTAAGGAGAAAAAGTTTCAGTTATCTTTTCTGTAACTGGTTGTACTGTTTAGCAGGTATTTATCTTCCCTGACTACTGGGGTGACCATTGCTCCTGATCTGAGCCATCCGCACTCCTTCCTATACTGGGTTGTAATAGTTTTGTTATTGACTTGAATCACAAGAGATGGGAATACTAAGAAGCTAACCTTTGATAGTCCAGCAAGTCACCCCTGAGGATAGAATAATCCTCTTTGCTTGTTGATTCACTAGCAAGAGAAGCCCACATTAACCAGGGACAGTCTCAATTTCCACTTCAGTGGAACTACTGCTGTGCTCTCTGTGAAACTAATTCTATTTTTGAAATACCTCTAGATCATCATCTAGAGACATTGTTGTTAGGGAAGTATCTGTTATACTGAGGGAAGATGTTTCTACTCTCTGCTTCCTCACCCAGAGGTCTTTGCAGGGGGGAAGAAACAGCACCATGAGTCAGTTGCTGATTTAGAGCACATCTTGACTAGGGATACTACCCAAGTCCTGCAAGATGCTGCCACCCAGCTGGTGCCATAATTCCAAAAAGACATTTTACTGGATAGCTACTTTAGGGTGATGAGGAATGTATTAAGATCAGTAAATTCTGCTGAAACCTACTGCAGCTCCTCATTTATTGAAAAAAGAAAACAGTAAACATTGATCATAAGCTGTCCGATGTGGGATGCCATGATTGTAAATAAGTCATTCTGTAAGTTCACTGATGGTGAGTTTGGCAGAAGCATTGCAGTCTGGGAAGGCGAGTCTATATCACAGTAACTGGATATTCCAGGAGAGCCCCTACCTATGTAACCAACCCAACACCATCCAGTGACTGACTGATTTCCAGAATGGGGCTCCGTTTGGTCTCAGCTGTTGGCAGACTCAACAATGGCTGTGTCCATTGGTATCGATATTACTACTCCCATGCCTAACCTCCACCCTCCCACCATGGGGGAGGTCATTACTTTGACTCCAAGCATCATCACTTGGCTTCTGGTAATGAGGAATCTCACCATCCCCTGTAAATAAGGGGAGCCAGGTTTGATGG